CCAAAAAATCTTTGGCACTTAGACCCAGAGACAGTCAGGTCAAACTCAAAGGCTTGCCCATGTCAGGCTAGCATGGTTAAGGCACACCCAGTTCTATGGTTCACACAGGAGCAACATAACTAGCATTGTGTCCAGCTTCCTTGGACTCTACCGCCTAAATGCCCAGCTGGGTCAAGTGGAGGCAGCCTTCAACACAAGTCCAAAGGGGGCATGAACTCATACCTCTCCTGTCCTAGCAAAACACATTAAGGAGTCTGTCACCATGCCCCATCCTGCAGAGAGAGTGCAGCAGATAAGCAAGTGGGGAAAAGTGGTATATGTTTGCCAAGTCCCCGAAGCAATTTGTAGCCAAGCAAAAGCTGGGTGGACTTGCAGTTGCTGCCACACGTACAGGGACTGCAAAGTAATCACAGCATGTTTAGAGAGGCTCTTGCTAAACTCAGCTTTGCAGGAGAGTAAAATGATTCACAAGAATTCTATATTTATAAAAAGAAGATTTGCGGCAAATGACTCACACACCGTGTGGGGCTGGTTTTAAATAGACGACGAATAAATCGTCTCTTGGAGAGACATGCAAAGTTGGAAAAAATCAAGGAAGGACCCAGGCAGGCAGCTTGTAGCCAAATCTGCTGGAAACCTTATCGTTCCTCCATTCAATTAGCTAAAGTGATATCAAAACATTCAGCTTCACCTGCTCCTGTTATAAAGTTAATTAGCATCTCTTCTTTCATTCAAAGCAGCAGCCCTGCTTCAAGTTGGAATGCTTTCTTTTCCTAAGCAGGCCTGCTTAGCAACAGCAGGCTGCCTAAATGAAGGGTTGCATCTTCTTTAAACCCTACACAATATTACTCAATCAGAACAAGAGCCCCGTAGGGAACAAGAGGGAGCAACAGGAAAGTCTTGGTGTTGCTGAATTTTGGATGAACAAATCTATGAGAGCAACAGCTGCCTTTCCTCCTCCCAGTACATAGATGTTCCATTATCTAATGTTCCCTTTGTGATAAAGGAATTCAAACAAGGTAAGATTCATTACAGCCTGAGTGTAGTCTCAGGATGAAAGGGACATGGGGGTGATGACTGACAACAAGATGAACATGAGCCTTCAATGTGATGCTGCAGCTAGTAAAGCGAGCAAAACGCTGGCTCGCATCCATAGATGCTTCTCAAGCAAATCCCAGGACGTCATTGTACTCGGCCTTGGTGAGGCCACAGCTGGAGTACTGCATCCATTTTTGGGCTCCACAATTCAAAAAGGATGTGGAGAAGCTTGAGAGGGTGCAGAGGAGAGCCACCCGCATGATCAGAGGTCAGGAAAACAGACCTTATGATGAGAGGCTGAGAGCCATGGGACTCTTCAGCCGGGAAAAGTGCAGGCTCAGGGGTGATTTGGTGGCCACCTATAAGTTTATCAGGGGTGCTCATCAGGATCTGAGGGACCGTCTGTTCACCAGAGCACCCCGAGGGAAGACAAGATCAAACGGTCACAAACTCTGCTGCGACCGATTCAGGCAGGACATAAGAAAGAACTTCTTCACTGTCCGAGCCCCCAAGGTTTGGAGTAGACTGCCGTCAGAGGTAGTTCAAGCACCCACTTTGAACGCCTTCAAGACACATTTGGATGCTTATCTTGCTGGGATCCTATGATCCCTGCTGACTTCCTGCCCCTGGGGCAGGGGGCTGGACTCGATCTTCTAGGGTCCCTTCCAGCCCAAATGTCTATGAAATCTAGTCTGCATGGAACAAATAAGAGATTTACTGCAGATTTTATATCTGTGTCTAAGCATTAGCTCTTGCTGCAGGTACTCTCTTTGAACATTATTTTGAGAGGCAACCAGACTCATCTTAGACTGGTTTATTATTATTACAATAGTGCCCAGCGGGCCCCCAACTGAGATCAAGGCTGCACAGCAACACTGCCAACTTGTGCTGCGTTTTCACAAGACTTATAATACCCAGTGATATCCTTGAGGCTCCAGACCTAGAGTCAAGGGATTACATGAAAATCTCAATTAAGCAGCTGTCTAGGTGCAAAAAAGAAAGAGAGCCAAGATGCATGAAGCTCAGAGGCTCAGAACCAGAAGGCAAATGTAAAGCTGTTTTTGGTTAAAGTCTGATGATTTTTTTTAAACAGTTAGGGTTGGCAATGCAGCTCCTGCTGCAGGTCCAATATATCCATATAGCAAGAGACATTCCCTGCCCAGGTTTACAGTCTCAGGCCCTGGCCAGTAACTTCTATGGAAATTATTGAGATACCTTAGGACAGGGATGGCCAAACTGTGACACGTGTACCACAAGTCACATAGGTAGCCTCTATGTGTGGCACGTAGCACATCAGGGGGGCAGGGCGCACACAGTGGCAGATAGAGCAGGAAACACAAAACAGGGCAGCAGAGTGGACAGGGAGCACAGGGCAGGAAGCAGAAAGCAGAGCAGCAGATCAGGCAGGGGAAGAGGAACAGAGCGGGGACTTAAGGAGGGTGTGGGGTTTATTTTTGTGGCCTGCCTGCCAAACAAAGTTGGCCCCACTGCCCTAGGAAATCCCCTGCCATATGCTAATAATGCGCAGGTACAAGAATGACAGCGGGCAGACAAATCCTGTTTTCCAGACACAAATCTTGCTAGCAAAAGAAACGCATTATTAGAATTCTGCATTCAGGAACATGCATCAATGCTCAACTCCTTTAAAGAACACTCTTGTTTTCAAATCCAGCTTCAGCTTCCTCTACTTCACCTCTCTGCGATTATCTATACTTCACTGGATATTTCTGGCTGCAGAACTCGTGGTCTAGGAAATTCCGGAGCAGCATTTTTGATAAATATTCTGCAAAGGTTCTCAAGTACCTTCCTTGGTTAAATTCCAAATTTAAAGTATCAGTAGACAGGAACAAAGAATCCAGGGGCAAATAACCCTTTGAAATTACAAGCAATTTTAATCCCCAGCACTACTTGGTAGTGCTGTTTCTCTTCTCACTTTTTTGTATCAACGCCAAACACTGGCAAGTAGTTTGACACTCAAATTCCCCAAAGATTTTTTTTTTAATCTAGGATTTGCATCCCAATGTTTATACTTCTTTGTTTACTTTTTAATGCATTAATCATCTTGGATAATGCAGCTATAGGTTGTCCGATGCCTCGATTTTCATGCAGTAGTAAAAATGACAAGTTGAGCCCCTACCCCCACCAAGCACAGGAATAGCAACCTCTGCTTTACAGCAACTTTTGTAATAAGAATTTAGCAGGCGATTCTCTAGCACTGCCAGGTTCAGCTGCTTCACATCAGGGTTGAAGTCATCAGTATTGCAAAACACATAAATCTGACCCAGAGGAATGGCCAAGCAAGAAAGTATTAGAATTATTTAGTGGGAATCTTTATTAGATTTCACTGATACATTTTTAATTATGGACAGGAGTGCTATATTCAGGAGAGACACTGCAAAATTGGGATGAGCAGTCAAAAGGTAGTGATTTACGTATTTTCATCAAGCCTGAACTTCTATTCATTAAGTTACTCAGTTTTGCGGAAGCAGAAGAAAAGAAAAAAAAATCAATGTAGCTAGGAAAAAAGGAATGTAGGTCCTGAATAAAGAGAGGCAAAGTGGGGGTGGAGGGTGCGGGAGGAATCAATGCACCCTTCATTTAGACAGCCTGGTTACCTGAAACATAGGTCTTTGATCTAGAAAAATTTCAGGTAAAACATAGATGCAAACGACCTCACTACACATATGAAAGCCCAGGCTGGAATTTTCAAAGCTGCCTAAGAAATAGGAATGCCCAATCCCCATTACGGGGAAGAAGGCTGAGCATCCACTTTTCCCATGTTACTTTCAGCATCTCAAACTAAAATTTGCAAGCACCAGAAAAAGTTCCCCAGCACAAAGTTGTAGCTTGCTCAGTAACAACTCCTCGCTATCCAAACCTCTCTGACAGCTCCCTTTTCAAAGGGTCCTTCTGAAGTCCTTCACAGACTACTTGAAAGGCAGCAAAACCGCATACAACAAAAGCTGTGTTAACCGGCCCTTTATTAGCCAGAAAACTCTATTGACTGGCATCTGAGGGACGCGGAAAAAGTGAAACCAGAAGTACCACTTCCGGGAGACTTCCCATTTCGCTGCCGCAAGCCAAGTTTTTCTTTGCCACTTCTTCAACCCATGGCAAAGCAGCCCGCGCAGGGTAAAGCAGCCTGCACGGGGGCCCCCTCCCTGTCCCCTGGCACGCTGACGCCGGGGAGTGCACCAAATGGTGCACATTTGATTAATTGGCATATTTGATTAACCGGCATGCCCCATTCCCAGGGGATGCCGGATAACAGAGCTTTTACTGTACCAATAGTCGCTAGCTCACATAGAGCATTCTGTATTCTCCAAGTGCGGTGCAAGCAGTCAGTCTTCCCAAAAGTCCTAGAAGGAATAGGTAGCTACTCTACCCCAATTCTGGCAAAAGAAAAGCAGACATAGATAAGCTAAGTACTGTTTCACAACCTGCATGCTCAGTCTCTGGGATATAGCCTTTCATGAGAATGCTATTGTGATTGAAGTCTTATTGTGTTGGGCATGGTCCAAACAAGTAGTAAAGAGACCATTCTATGCTTCAAAAGGTTATCCGGATATGCAACTCAGGCAGAAGGAGGGAGGGGAACAAAAATAGGTGGCTTGGCCAAGGTCAAAGAACAAGTCAGTGGCAGAACCAACAACAGAACCCAAGTATGCCAAATTTCAACTCAAACTGTCCAGTAGAATATTTCTACTTTCACTCTTCGGACACGACAGAACCTGATTCCAGACCTTACTGTAATGTAGCCCCCCCCCCAAAAATTCAAACTAAAGCCAAGACAGGGGCTTGAATTCTGAATTCCCTGACTTCAGTAATATTCATAGCTCTGCCTTTGCAACACAGTAATGGGGTTTTTATAACCCCAGGGGGAGGGGGGCAGACATTTAATTTTACAATAAAAACAGGACAACTTAGCATCAGCCAAACTCATTTGCAAATTTGTCATTTACCACATAAGGCGATGATGTGGCTGCTGTCTTCATGCACAAATTTCCTGGTGACAGCTTCTTCCATGATCTGTTTTACCTGAAACAAAAAGACAAGAAGTAGATGGAGGAATTTTGCATGCCAGTTTTATCAGCTCTGCAGAGCAAAAGCCCAAGGGAGATAACTTTTCTCTTTACTCTTGCCTGTCTCCTTGTATTTACTTTGTGCTTTCATTACTTTGGGTTTTTGTTGCCCTGTGTAAAGAGAAAGCCCAGATACATCACCCTGCTGTATCTCAGCAGTAGAGGGGTGACAGCAAACCCTTTCTTGCAGGATCCAACAGTAACACTGTTTGGATACTGCTTACTCCATCTACAGAATAGGATTATTTTGTGGCACTCCTTCACTGTACAGTTAAAAGCCATTTCCAGTCACAGCTCCCTTTAACATAACAATCACGCGGACATCACTCAAAAAACCCTACATGTGCATGCTCGTGCTAAATGAGGACAAAACAATGGATCAGATAAAAGGCTGGTGATTTCCTTGGTTTCCTGGCAGCAAAAAGAAATCAGCAAATTGCAAACCCGGGAGAGTCTGGGACACGAAGCATGAAACAGCGCACACCTTGTGCTGCTCACAACCAGCCTCCAGATTACTGAGGCAGAGCAGCCCAATGAGGAGGGAATTCACCCGTCTTGGGAGAGATTCTGCCTCCTGCTCTGCCCCAGACTGACCATTCACTTGAAATGAAGGTGCTAAACCCTGGGTTTAGCAGGGGATGGGAGCAGTGAAGAACTGCCAGCCTGGGCTTTGGCACACACTAGCAACTCCTAGTGCTAGTGGCACACACTAGCAGTATGTGCTCCAAAGTCATTTGTCCGGGGCAGATGGATATTTAACATGCAGTTGAAAAAACTATCCCAAAAACCACATGGGGTTTGTGCTTTCTCTTGCAGCGCTGGTCCCACACATTTTTAGAGTCAGATCTGTTGAAGTTGGCGACAGCAACCAATTTTGGCTGCATTTTGCTCCAGTAGCCAACACAGCTCAGGGCACAGGCTGGGTTCCACTATCCTGGTGCTCACCAAGTTCCAACCAGTTATACTTACGCACGCCTGCTGAAGACAGGCATCACAGGGACCTCATTTGCAGAGCGTGGGCATGCAGAGGTGTAACAGATGGCAGGTATTTTGTCTCTGGGTCCTTTAATAATGTAGATAGATGAAAAGAAAAGCAGTGGGCTTGACTCTCAGATCCTAAAGGGACTTTACTAGCATGGCAAAATCAGAGATTTCCCCCACCCCTTCTTGAGAATTCTTTCTATTTCAAAGACTGAAATGATATTTTTGAGTAGCCACTAAACCAGAGTGGCCTCCTGTAAATGAAGTCCATAGCACAAGTTTCCATGCCCTGTACAGCCTTCTTCAACAATGCAGGTATTTGCCTTAATCTGCATATTTAATGGACATATGGAGCTATGAGAACCCTCTTCCCCACACTTCCTCCTCCAGTTGCACAGTGGAGTTTTGCAGGCCCAGCCTCCCTATACAGCTCTGATGATGGTTCACCATTTTACCATGACCTTTCAGTGAGTCTGGCAGGGAGAACCACCCACAAGACAAGACTGACTGCAAATGGCTGAGGGCGATGGTGCTAGGCAGTGACATTTTGCAGCAACATCTCAGACAAATATGTCCTGACACAGCACCTCTTTCCAGGTGGGTCAAATTGACAAAAGCAGGTCTATTTTCAAAGGGAACATGCTATGTTTTGTGTGTGGCAAATGCAGGAGCAGCACAGCTAACACCCCCACCCTGCTTTGAAATTCTCATCCCAGATCTCTTAGAAGCAGACTGAAGAGATGTCCCCAACATATACAGGATTTGAATTAAGGTAATAATGCTTGAAGAGCAAGGGAATGAGCACACCTTATGTTATTCCCATGCGTCTAAACATGAACAAGAGGCAAAGCACTTTAAAGGGGGCAACTTGTTAACATGCAGATTCGGTACAACACACAATAACAGTATAACCACCTGTCCAGAGGCTCCAGCTGAGATCAGAGTCCAAGTGTGCAAGACACAGTACAAACATATGGGAAGAGACAGCCCCTGACCCCAGCCACTTGTGATTTAGCTAGACAAGGCAGGCAGAGTAGGAGAAAGAAAGCATCATTATCCCTGTTTCACAAAAGGAAAATGAAGGCCCCAGAAGATCCAATGACTGGCTCAAGGGCACGGCAGAAGTCTGTGACGGAGCCAGATATTGAGCTCAAATACCCAAAGCCTTGGTCCAGGGTGCTAACCTTAGCCCGGTATCCTGTGAAAGGCCACCTGCTAGAGTTCAGTGACCAAGTCTTTCCATCTTTTCCCCTCAGCCAGTTTAAACTCATCTCCATTAAACCAATTCTTTTTTTCTTCTGACTCTATTCAGATAGTCCCATTTTTACTTCAGTCAGATCCATCCCTCCCTTCTAGCAGCTATGCAGAAACCCATGATTTCCTGATGAATGACAGGCTTTCACATCTGCTGGATCTCACCTTGGTTTTAATTGCTGGCATTTTAAGGAACTAAGGAAAGTTTCAGACTGGAAAAATCCCTAGGCTAGCAACAGGGGCATAAAACCTAGATTTAAAAATACTCAGGGAGAAACACTATTCCAATTCCTTGCCTTTGAATCCAATTCAAAGGCCTCCCCTTTCAAGGCGCTGCAAAGCACAGCTCTATCTAAGCTCAGCAAGCCTCCCCATTCCTTTCCTAGATCGGACATAATGATGTAGAGACTTTGTTGTGGATTTATAACACTAAGAAATCCAGAGTCTTGATCAGTGACTTGGATTCTGAAGTGCTAAAAGAATGCAACTAAACTACACCAATCTGTCAGAAGACAGGTGCTATTGCTTCTATGGCACATGGGTTATTTTTTGCCTCCTTCTCCAGTAGCAAACTTTCTACTCCCATGAAATTCCCTCTGTGAGCAAAGAACAATCTGTCAACTACTGGCAGAGAAAAACTGTCATTAATACAGCTCACTATCAGCATCTTAGCTTCAGGGAAGAATCATTCTTAGATCAAGAGAAAAAAAAAAAGTTAAGCTGGGCTTTGGAGTTTAGCTTGCTCCTACATGAATCTAAAAAGAATTTTACAAAGGATTCAATTGATGATCTCCCTCGATAATTCATGCCTGAGCCTGAAGGAAGCATTTTGCCGATGCTGGGGCAGGGGAGAATTTGATTAATGTAGAGAATAAAAAGTTTGAAAGGCAAGCTGGCTAAGCACTGAAGGATTCCTGAGGGCAAGGTTTCTAAGAAACGGAGGTAATGCAATTGTGTAAAGGGAAGCTTCAAATCTTGTAGGTATTTTATTGGTATTATTTGTATTTTGGCTAGAAGCCCCAGTCACAGTCCAGTTCCTTACTGTGCTGAGCACTGTGAAAACAGAACGGCCAAAAAAAATAAAATAAATAAAATCCCTAGAAAAACTGGCACTGTGACTACATGGATGGTCCAGAGGTGTGATTCTCTGTTTGATCCTGGAGCAACAGCAGGGCCTCAGCAGGTAGGGCTGATTCTGCTCAGTGGCTAGAAATCACTGACTGCATTATCTAGTCGCAGTCCCCCAGCAGCCTGATCTTCAGCTTCTGCAGCACTGCAACAAGGCTCCAACCAATAAGCACGATAAATAAAGCTCATGTCATCACTCTAAGCAGGGCAAGCACCAAAGTAAAAAGGAAATATGATAACTGAAACAACCGTGAGCCTGAACCGAGAGCCTTTTCAGGTAGGAGGGCAGTGGGTTATCAGACTTCAGGCCAGCCAGTAGTGAAGCACTGAAAGCTGGAGAATTAACAAGCAATTAAAAGGGAAAGCAAGAGTGAGAGAAGGCCTCATCTGGAAGGCAGAAGCTGAAATATTACCTTCCCCAGGACTCTACTTACCACTCTGTTGACATACAACCTTGATTGCTGTTTGCCTTGGCAGGAGCACAAAAGAACCAATCCCAAAACTTTCCTACTCTTGAACTGCCAGGGAGCCTCTGGAAAACAGTGATTACACCAGGCCTGGCTGCTTAGAAGAACAGGCTACTCTGTCTGTTCAGTTGCCATTAGCTAGCTTGAACCAACACTTCCCAAGTGGGAGGCAGCACGCCCCAGCAGAGATGGCCTTGGGTGAGGGACGAGGGGAGTCGAGTTCTGTTACTGAGGTCAGTGGCTGACCTGGGCAACTTGCTTCAGCTCTGTGCCTCATCTGGGGAAGATGAGAATAGCAATACTGGCTTCTTTTTGTAAAGCATTGACTTCTGAATGAAAAACGCTCTCAAAACCTATAATTTCTACAAGCATCAATACGGGCTGCTTAAAAGTCAGTCTACTGATTTGGGTTCTGGCATCAAGGTTGACACCCCATCATGGCAAACATTGACCCTACTAGGAATGAGACATGTTTGCCCTTGCTCAGAAGTGTTTCTCATCTCAGAAGCTCTATACGATGAACATGGTACCATCCCCTATATAGCTTGGATACAGTCAACCCAGTAAATCTGTGCTGATATGCATATGGCTTAATGCAATTTGGGAGGTGGAAGAAGCTAGAATGGGATAAGGCACCTCTATACCGGCATAAATATCTGCACCTGGGAGGTTACCAATTCATCTCTGTATCAGTTCCGAAAAAGAAAGACAGACCCTAATTAAATCCCCACCCAAAATACGGATACAAGGAGTGTGAGGTCCCATCCTGTGTGTGACAAGATGCAGCAGGTGGATACAGCAAATAAGAGGAATGGTGAAAAAAATAAAGTAATGGTGCAAGAATCGTATTCAACACAAAAAGCAGCACCCACAACACACTGACTTCCTGGCCAAATTGGCTCAAAGCACCTATCTGATCTTACCCTTTTCCATAGGGGAAGGAAGAGAGGGAGAGAAAATAAAGAGTGAGAGGAAGCAGAACATGCCCTGAATTAGCTAAACTGTCACCATCAGGGATGGCAATATCATCCTCCCAGATTTACAGAAAAGGAAACTGAGGCACAGAGTCTCTCACACATTCACAGAAGTTTAGGGCTGAAGAGGCTCTCACCTACAGTAATTTATACCAATGCTAGGAATGGGGCCCTAGAGTCCCAACGCCCAGTACCTTCATCATGCAGCTCATTCTTCTCTTTCGATATTTTTCATAAACAGACAAACCCTGTAATAATTGTGTTACCAATAACTTCATTAACCAACATCTAGTATCATGCCCACCTGACATCCTCTTGCAATTGCTGTAATTTGTGATCCCAGTTAACACATTTACGAGAAACTCTAGCCGCCTCAAAGGGCTGACATCATTCAAGTGTCTGACATTAGACTTCGGTCAATCGCTCCAAGGGGACACACATTTAGTATCAAGCCACCTGAACTAACAAACTTAAACAGTTACTAGAAGACATCTTTATTGCTCTCAACTTTCTTTAGTGCTTAGTGCCAATATTACTGTTCAGCAGCCCCAGGAAGCCCCAGCTAAGACTGCATTTATACAGTCTAGCATACTGTGCATCAAATTGAAGAAGCAAGGAAAAGAATAGAAGTTATTCCTCTTTTTGGGGGTAGGAAAACCGAGGCTTGGAGAGATTAAAGGACATGACCATGGTTACTTAAGGAGTGTGTGGCAGGGTGTGGAACTGAATCCAAATGCCCTAATTCTCAATTCAGGGCAATCACAGAAGGACTATCCTTCCAACAATCAGCCCCTTCAACCCGACACACAAGAACTGTCTCACGTTCCTCAGGACCAAATCATTAGTAAGATACAGATAAATGTTCTGAATCTTGCCGTGGCAAGCCACAGGGCACTCTCCCCACCTCAGGTCAGAGAAGGCAGTGGCAGAAGGCTATCCACAGCACAGAACAACCCTCACCAGTTTTCTGAGAGAAGTACTTTTCAGGGCATGAAATGCAGGTGCTCTCTCTCACACACTGGAATACATCATTCTTCAAGCCCACATCATTTTTTCATTGCTACTTAATTCAAGGAAGCTCCAGGCAAGGATCCAAGACAAATAATTCCCTGTGATCAGATGAAATGTTTAAAAAGAAATGCTAAAACTTTTATAACACTTTGAGGTAGGGAATTATACAGTCATCAACCACGCTGACCATGCCAGAAAGGCAGCTGCAAATCGGGCTTTCCACACAAACCTGTGCAGACACCCACCCACAAACTTTACTGGGCCTGAGCAAACTGTAAATTAGTTTAATTACTGAAGCATCAGTCCCTTTCTCCCCTATGGAAACCTGCTTAACCTACAGAGCAGCTCTGAACCCCAAAGATTTGCTGCATGAGATGCAGGCCCCTGGTTCCCTCTCCTCTCCCTGCCATTCCAGCTCACTTGGCTTTCTATTAAAGGCCCTAGGAATATGGCACTGCTATTCATTCACAAATCCTTGCAGCTCCCTGGGCCTCCTACAAAACAGGAGATCCTGTCTCCTCTCTGTTTTCCAGAACGGCTGACCTTCCCCTAATCCCTAATGTTCCCTAAGACAGCAGGGAACATTACCAATACAGGAGGTAGTGCTGCAGCTCTCACTTTATTGGGGTTTTACTAGGGTTCACAGAAACTTTTGGCTCGGGTTTATAGCAGGTTTGAGACTGGTTGCCAGGAATGACTAACGAAACAGGAAATTAAAAAAAACCCTATAAATCCTTTTTCACCAGGGCTGGAAGCTGCCAATCCCACACCTGCTTAATGAGGACTGTCTGTGAGACTTCTGAAATGCCTTATTCAGATGTGTCTTATTTGCAGGCCAGAAGATCCCAAAGAGGCCTGGTTTCAGCAGCACCTCGTACACCCCTGCGTTTGCATTGCTCAGCTTGAACACAGCAGAGAAGAGGACATGGAAGTTTAAGAGTCACGCTCCATCTTGTCACAGCAACTGGCATCACAAGGCTACAGGGAAGGTCTGCCCAGGCTGGTGACGAATAGGAGTGCTCCAAAGTACCTCAAGGTGGGAAGAGTGACTGAAATGCCAGCACTAAAGCTGGGGTATTGAGAGGAGGCTGTTACAATGCTGGTACCACTACAGACCACAGAGAAAACTCTGGAGCTGATCACTTGCTGCTGTTATAAGATCTATACCATTTTTCCTTAAAGAAAAGGGCCTTAATCCTCACCTCCTTGCCAGTTTTGACTTGGGCAATCGGTGTACGTTCCATCTCCCTACAAGACTTGGCTGCATCAATCCTTGGCTACCTAATTATAGAGGGTCTGTGGCATTATGTTTGCTGTTCAATAGATGCCGTGTTTCAGCCCAGAGGCACCTCCTTTCAATGGCAGGGGAAACATTCCAGTTCCTCAAGTGCTTCAAGATCTTTCAGGATGAAAGCTGCTAAGGTGATCATTATTATATTTGTTTCACAGCTAGAAAGCATGCTCTGTTTGAATATAGTAATGGCAAAAAAAGCTCTATTTCAGTAGGTAGAAGGAAATGGCTAGAGAACAGCCTTTATGAGCCTACTTGTCACAATAGATTTTCCTGCAGAGAGAGATAAATGTTTGAAACATGGATTTATAAGCCGCCTCGGCATGAATCCCAGCTGAGTCAAATTTTCAGAACATATTACATGTCTTTCTTTCCATTAGAGTCAACAAAATACATTCTTTACTGGGGGAATGGCAAGGCCATCCACAAAAGAGCAGACACAGATTAAACGTTTCCAGAGAACCTGTGCAAAAGGCTTTGCTGGAAATAAAAAAAAAGGCTGTGCATCCCAGCTACTTTAAACCTGGACGACAAATACAGATGAATTTCAATAGATTCAGCACATGGAGGGCACAGAAACATTCAATGTACTTAGACGATGATTAAAGATTAAGGTTATTTGAAAATAATATGACAGGGGGAATAGACTGATTTCAACAAAGAGGGAAAGGAGCAGCAGCCTTCTCAACACATGTGGAGATGAGCAAAACTACATGATTTATGATTGAAGGGGAGACGAGAACAACATTTTGGGACATGGTTTTGTACAGTGCTCCTCCGTACACAGGTCAGGATCATGAGGTGCTCCCAAAATATAAATAATGATGGTATACAAAAATAGCTATGATAAAGGAACATTCTTTCGGTTGCAAAGTCAGGCCTCCATAAGCCAGAAAATACCCAACTGAAGAGGCTGGCTTTCCATCCTGTGCATGGAATGAAGCCGGGATCCTCTGGAAAAGTTGATATACAATCATGTAATCAAAGAAGACAGAGGGGATAACATTAAAGCTAGATTTAAAGTAGCTATATTCAGTTCATGCTACACTTCTCCCTGCCATCACCAGTTGGAAGAGCAGAATCATCAGGAAGAATTCATCTCACATTCTGACTAGCTCTAATCACAGCTGCACTGAAGAAAGCAGTCAGAGAAAGAAACCGACCCTTTTTATGACAGAATGTCCATAGCCCACGACCAGAACATCTTGGGACAAAGCAGCAGCCCAATCTCTCTAGCCCAAAGACTGGCCCCTTGCTGAAATGGAAAGGCTGCAAAAAAAAGAGAGGCAGATGGCTGTTAAAGCTTCTTAGAATAGGTAACTTCCACCTTTAGCTTCCTCTGTGCAAAAGTGAAGTTTATTTTCTACCTATGGGGACTTTTTACCATCTTTAATTTTCCCTGAGCCTGAGGAAGGGCATGTGCGCCTGAAAGCTTACAGAAAAAGATTTTTTTTTTTTGCAATTTCTTAGTTGGTCTAATAAAAGGTGGTATTCTCTGAACCAAGAGTTCTAGAGTTTTCCATTTCTTTTTAGCATAGGGGATGAAAACTCTTTATAGCAGAATATGCCCAGCGACACAGGCATTTCATACCACAAAAGATGCACGTATACAAATGTAAATGATTAAAACCTCAGCAACCATGCCCACTCCCATACATAAGAGCTTAAAAGTCCCACTGAAAACCCAGTAAGAGGTTGGAAAAATTCCAACCTAAATTGTTTTTAATCACAAGTTATTTGTTTTTTCAGTTCAATGTGGCTTGGACCACAAAAACCAAATGTGTTTTCAGATTTGCATGCATTAGCCCAACACAGCAGTGTTTGGGTTTAGAAGAAGGCTTCACTTTTTTTATACATACAAGTGTACATTCACATGCTAAAGCGAGCCTAATATTGTGGTTTCAACTTCCTGGTTTTAAAGCCAATTTCTGGACTAAGTGGAAGCTTCACATTTGTATCCAACTACAGCCATTTCAATATCAGCAAAGTGCACAATATAGTCCTGTACCACAGCATAATCTAGAAATATATTGGCTTACTTTAAGACAAATGTTAAAAGCCTCAATTCTATTTGATTTTTAAATGTAGTCCAGTCTTCACACTCCTTTCCTCACCCAGCCACTCTCAATCAAGCTATAACAGGGGCTCAGACATACAAATGATATACTGAGGGGCTCTGCCTTGCATCAGCTGCACAAAATAGAGACAAGCAGCAGGCAACACATCCCAGGACACTGGGGGATTGACTAGAAACAGGGCTATCAGGTCCCCAAAACACCTGGAGTTAGTTAAGTCTCAGATCTGCAACAAGGAGATTTCAGTTCAAGCTTAAACACCAATTCAGTGCTACCATGAAGAGCATTCATTCATATGCAAGGGCTGGCAACAATCCAGCAATGAGCTGAAAAGCTACTGGTGGCTCACTGGCATCTCTTCAGAGCCACCTGGAAAAGGATGGATAACTGGCCTCACAGCACCCAGTGAAAGTTAACAGCAGGGCCTTGAAAACAGCAGCTCATGACAAGCCTGTCCAGAAGGCATCCAGGGAACATGTGTTCCCTGCAGCAGGAAATGCCTGATGGAAAAAGCCCACTGTCACCTCTGCTTCCTGCCAAGCTCGACACGTTCTTTTTACACAAGCAGCACTGAGTCAGTGACAGATCGCAGGGCTGAAACGCGCTTTGATTTAGGATGCCACATATCAGTGCTACTTCCTAAAGAGTTTGTCTCCTCTCTGCTGGACCCTGCCTCAGTTTGGCACCAGCTGATTCCAGTTTAGGATTTTGGATGCTTTCCCTCCTCAGCTGCAACACGTAATGCAGATGCATGCACAAAAGAGTATTTTGCATACAAGCTTTATATGCAAGGCAAGCCAAAGGGCCTTTAACACAGCAAGCAAGATGGTGAAGGCACTGATTGATGTGCATCCCCTCTGCCCCACAACAGGTGGGATCGGAATTGCTCAACGGTGCGATTGCCCCTATACTGATAAAAGTCAACGGGGATTTGCTTTTTCTGCTTTAAAAAAAAAAAAAAAAAAAGCTTAAAAGTTTGATAGCTCAAGTGTCATCCTGCTCAGGAAGCACAGACAGCATGAATCGCCAAAGCAGATTTTTCTTTATCTCTATCAGTAGTTTTCTAAGGATCTAATTTATTTCCTTGCTATCACAGTGCCAACCACGAAGTTCCCAGATGATCATCACAGATAGGGAACTGGGCTAGAGAAAAAGAGAGACAGAGCTTCCATGATTTTCCCCAAAGGCATGCGTAAGTGCAAGTGCGCACAAGGGAACCCACATCTCAAGTCTCCCAGTGCCCTGTTCCAATCACTAGGCTGTGCTGCCACTCACTCCTGATAGTTCCCATACCTCTACAGCTATTACGCTATGCTACAGGAACAAAAGCTTTTAGGTTTCCTATACCCGAGCCACCATAAACCGACCGTGACTACCATCTCCAAGCGCTAAAACCAAGAAAGCTACAAAGGATTTAACATTCTCCAAGTAACAAAACAAGATGCCAGACAGCAGCAAAAACAAACCTTACCACTTCCAAAAAGCAACACTGAAAAGACTAAATAGGAACAAATGCTGAAGCTAATATATTAGCAACAGAAGGGATTCTGAGAAAGCAAGCAGCCCTAAACCCAAGGATTTTGTGGGATAAATGACTTTATTGCTAAGCGCAGACTGCATGACCTATGGGGCATTCAGAAAGCAATTCAATCAACAGCATAAGGTACATGAGGGGAAAGGGTATATTTACAACATGGGGAACAGCAGTTCAGGGCTTCACAAAATAAACAGTTTAAAAAGAAGTTTAAGCTCTACAGCGCACACAGGTGCACACACACATTTTTAACAAAGAAAATTCCCTTGACCTCTCCTCGCACCTCACCACACCCCACGGCTGAATCCAGCCAAGGCAGCTTGTTGCAAGGAAGAAGATCACACTGAATGTGCTCTTCAGAAGCATGACCCTGCTCCTACTCTTACAGAGGGCCCTAATCCCTGATTTTACAGACAGTGGGCACATCTACACGTGCTCTTTAATGCACATTAGCCTACTTTAATGAGCATTAAAGCATCACTAAGAAGCCATGCTCTTTAGTTAATGCATATAAAATTGACTAACACGCATTACAGCATCACTAAAAATGGTGGGTGCCTGCAGACATGCTGCGGGGCTGCTCCAATGCGCTGTAATTACAGTGCATCGGAGTCCAAGTCTGCTGGAGCGCAGTAATTACCAGCCTCCATGTCTTGTGCATTAGCGTCCCTGCACTTCAAAATTGCAGCGGGGCACTTTAACTAAAAAAACTTGTCAAACAAGCTTCATTTTAAGCACCCCCACCACCATTTTGAAGCGCAGGGACACTAATACACGAGGTGCTGCAGCGCTTTAATTAGAGCAGCTCTTGGCACCCCTCTAATTAAAGCTTCCCGCACCTCAGGAGCATGCCCATCACTCTTTAGTTAATGCACATTAAGATAGACTAATGCGCATTTTCTAGTACTTCACTATGGAGGTACTAGATTTAATGTGAATTAAAGCGCATTAACACACACGCAGACATGTCCAGTATGAGCTAGAAGAGAGTGCGCAGGATACTTAGCCTCTGCCACTGACTTGCTGTCGTTCCTGTTTGTTATAAGGCACTTTGTAATCTATGAGCTTGGTATAATCATAACTAAGCATGACTGCTGGCATGGCAGCTGGACCTTTCTCCCACTCCCATGCCAAGATGCATAGATTTCTGAAGCTGCAGACACTGGAGTATTTTCCATGCAGCTTACATCCCAGGCTGGGTGCATGCCTGCAAGAGCTCAGTCCTATGGCTCAGGAGCAAGGCAAGGCTGTGAGGGGATAGGACAGCAGCCAGGCTTTTTGTTCAAGGCAAAGTAAACCAACCTGCCACCTTGGCCACACCAATGTTCGCAGCACCCTAATGAAAGTCCAGGTATTAAAAACCAAACTCCAACCTGCCATATTCAATTAATGATGCTATCAGGTGGGGTCTAAACTGTCAGCAGAGTGGAGATATGAGGGACTAGGATCTCATCAACTTCTAAAATGCCATGCAACATTATAAGCTTTGTTGAAAAAGCAAGGCATCTGGGCTGCACTCAACATGAAGGATGCATAGGAGAAAAGAATAAAGCCAGTACAAGGTTTGTGGTTCAGGAAACATGCAGAAGTGTGGTGTGGTGTGGTGTGAGTTATGGGAGAAGCCTCAACAACAGGCTGGTCTAAGCCAGTCACAACCACAGTTTGCCCAATGCCTGCCTCATAAACCACAAATATGCTGCGGTCAACATAAAGTACAATTCACAGAGCAGCATAGCCGGACTAGATAACCCAGAAGGTCTTTTTCAGTGCTAATTTATGGTTATAGCCCTGGCACAAGCTGTTCCATTATGACTTTATTGATTATGCAAAGATGAATTTGGGCATCTGTCTGGTTCCACAGGCAGGATTTCCATGAGCCAACTCACACTGGACATGCTAAGACCAAGCTGGTATCTATCTTTCAGACACCAGTTGAAGTAGTGCAATTCAAATGAAGAGCAATTTGTAAAATCACCCCTGGCCAAATTGGCACCACCGCAGCCCCATTCTGGAGTAGAAAGAAAATGCAAACAGCAGAGTGTAAATCTAGCTCCAGCAAGAACACTGCCTGTTGTGCTTCCTCTTGTCACCATAGCACAATCTTGATTTTGAGTTTCATTAGCTTCATGGACCCAGCATCTTTTGAAGGGAATATAAAAGCGCAGACTTCAAAGGGTGAAGCCAGTCTCTAATTAGCTAGAGGTCAGGAGAAAATCTTCTCCGTGGGTGGGTCATTTCACAGGCAGGGTTTCCTACAGCTTCCCTCAAAGCATCTGGTTCTGACCACTGCTGGAAACCAGATACTGGACTAGAGACCGCTCCTCTGGTCTGGGACAATAGGAACTAGATAAAAGTCATTTAAGTACTGTTAAAGGAGAATGGTTGCCTGTGTGGTGTAATGTTGCCTTGATAATGGGAAACTATATCCCTCATCATTGTATATTGATGAATTTCTAGTTAATGTTGATTCAATGGTGGGCTTTGCATTTCACTTTGCAAACAACAAACAAAAACAGATTTACTCGGTTTGCAATCTCTCATAGCATGCAGAGGAGATTCATTTAGTTTTCTAGATTTTTTTTGTTTGTTTTAAAACATCTTAGCTGAACAATGCACCCCTCTTTCCCCCTCCAGGACCTAGGAGGATTGGGCTCACAGCAAGGCGAGTGAAATAAGACACGGTGAAATAAGCTCACAAAGACACTCATGGACCCAGAGGGACAGCCTTCCATCTTCAGCTCCCTCAGTGCAAAAATGAAGTTTATTTCCTACCTACGGGGACTTTTTACTATCTTGTACCATCTACACTTTTCCCTGACGAAGGGACTTTGATCCCGAAAGCTTGCAGAAAAGGACAATTTTCTTGCCGTTCTTCAGTCGGTCTAATAAAAGGTATCATTTTGGAACCAAGAGTTCTAGTTTTTTGTACGTCAGTGAAATGAGAAATTAGCTTGCTTAATAATTGTTTTCCAACTATTTAAGGTGGTCTAATAAAAGATATCAGATTCACCCAAAGAATCCTGTCTGTCAGCGAAACATTTGGGTGCAGAAGGCACGCAGGATTCAACCTCTGCAACGGAACAAAAGCCAATCACAATGGAAATATTTAGGCAAATCAAAGGGGCCGGAGCGACTCCTTAGATACAATGATGCCTTGTGTATATCCTCCCCAAAAGGAGGAATTTGGAGGTAGCTTCCTCTAGCGACGAAGGGGATTTGAAGGCCAGGTAGGATCACAACATGAACTCTTTGCTGCTCACGGCATCAAGACTGCTGCCTACGGGCCAGACCCTTACACCCTCCTCCCGGGCTCTCGCGTCGCTAAGCTGGCCCATGTCTGCACAGGAAAAAAGAAGCGCTTTTCCTCTCTGTAAGGAACCAGGGCTCTGGCATCGTGGAGCAAACACCCCTCCAGGGTGCCTGCCAGCATAACGGTACATCACCCCACCCCCGCCCTGGGCACCCAAAAATAATCAAGCATAAGCCCTGTCTCCCGGCAGACTCCCTCGGTGTCCCCGGGCGGCCCCCCTCGGTGGCCGGGGGGGGGGGCGGGGAGTCTCTCGTACTCCCCTGGCAACTTCCCCGCTGCCGTTCATCCCGCACGGCCGGTCCTGTGCCGCGCAGGCGACGCCGGACCGGGTTATGTAAGCGGCGAGAGGAGTTTTCAGGCTCAAAAAGGGAGAGGGGGGCTCGGACCCGCACCGTGACTGCTCGGTGTCGGGGAGACGGACTCCGCGGCAAAGGCAAGCTTCCCCCGAAGGAGATGCCGAAAGCGCTCGCAGCCCAAAGCACCCAACGTCCCATTGAGGGCCTCGGGGAGGGAAACTGGGTTTCAACTGCCGCCCGGACAAAGCGGGGGTGCTTTCAATGGGCAGAGAGCCGATGAACTCGCTGAGCGAAGCCGGTCCGTTTGGAGAGGGACCGCACCGTCCTGAGGAGGCGTTTCCCAGCCCGGCACCTGTGGCAGGAAGGGGGGGGGCGGAGGGGAAGCAGCAGGTC